TTAATGTATAATTAATGTATTTACATTCCACTTTTAATGTTTGGTTGGCTAATGTACTTTTTCACCCTTTAATTTTTCAGAATCCTTGTGCCAAATTACAATGAATATGATTGGTTAAAAATTTTCAATTAGGAGCATGTGATTGGTCCTTTTTTTTTTTTTTTGCAAAGGATTGATGACTTGTCATGAGTAATCACTAAACTATCTTTGTTTTACTCAAAAACATTATTTAATGTTTTGTACTTCCCATTGCATTATCTAATTATTGTTATTTGTCTTATTCTTTCCTCCTTAATTCCCGTGTAAATTTCCAAAGAGGAATGTAATTTAGGGAAGGAGGGAGTATATATTTAGGAAATTTTGACTTTACCACAAAAAAAAATAATTTAAAAATTGTTATTTACCACCAAAACATTTAAAACTTTTATTTTACCACCAAAAAAAATTCTAAAAATTGTTTTTTACCACCTAATGTCAAGAAAACCTTTAAATCTAACGGTTTCAAAAAAATTCTTCGAATTTCGTGCGCAAAAGATGTTATTCATAGGTTTAAGGGGGTATTTTGGTTCTATGGGTCCAATTTGAAGTCAAAATTAACAAAAAATGGTCAGAAATGCCTCGTTTTGCGTGTCCATGCAAATCGAGGTATTTTTAAACACGCAAAATAAGGCATTTTCAATCATTTTTTTGTCAATTCTGACATCAAATTGGATTCATATGTTTAAAATGCCCCCCAAAACCTCTAAAGAGCATGTGTTTGACACAAAAATCGAAGAATTTGAAAAATTCCGTTAGATTTTGACGACATGTGGTAAAAAAACTATTTTTTAATTTTTTATTTGGTGGTAAAATAAAAGTTTCTGAAGTTTTAGTGGTAAAAAAACAATTTTTTGATTTTTTTGGTGGTAAAAGTCAAAATTTTCTTATTTTTAATTACTTTAGAAAATATAAATTCAGATAAGAAAGAATATATATATATATATATATATATATATATATATATATATATATATATATATATATATATATATATATATATATATATATATATATATATATAAATAAAGAGAATAAGCACAAATTATTTAATAATTTTTTTTTTCATCTTGTCTTGTGTGTAGCCACACCGTGTGATCATTTATAAAATAACAAAATAACTCATGTAATACTGACCATGTAACCCTGAAATACTCACTGAGTAACCCATATAATACTGACTAACCCTTATAACACTAACATAGTAACTCATTTGACACTGATCAAGTAACCCCTATTACACTACGAAGTAACCCCTGCCACACGGTGTGGCCAGCCACATATAAGACCTTTTTTTTAAAAAAAAAAAAACGGGAATGGTAATCACTTTCAAATCAATAAAATTAATCTTAATATCTTTAATTTTGTAAAAAAAAAAAAAAAAAATTATAAAATTCACATATTAATAAAATATACTCTGTACATTATTACAAATCTAAAAAGAAAATCCACTTGATATTGTTTTTTCCTTTATAGATGATCAAATTAGAATAGATTAGATCAAATAAAAAATGCAAAAATAAGGTGAATCCAACAACTCATCTTGAGTGCTTTTTTTTTTTTTTTTATTATTATTATTATTTTTATTATTACATAACCCTACTAACCTTTAATTTTTAACATAATAAACTTCCTTAAATATTCTTTAAAATTGGCGCCTTTATGTACTTCATACATGTTTTTTAATTATTATCTCCACTAAAAAAACAAAACTTCTAGTGTTTAGTGGGTTCTAAAAAATTATAATAATTAATTTTAATCTTTTTATTGTTTAATTATGATGAGCATGGCGTTAGAGATTACTTGTGCAAGTTTGGTAAATTTTAGAGCAAGATTTCAAGAGATTTAATTTTTGAAGTACATGCATTAAACTTATAATTAGGATATCTTTCATATACTGTATATGTTTAAAGTGTATGTACTACCTCCGGTCCAAATTACTCGTAACTTTGGGGTATTATTTGTGAGATATAAAATATTCCAAAGTTGTGAGTAATTTGGACCGGAGGTAGTATTTCGGGTTAGAATGAAGATGTTTCAAGGTGATAGTAAGGTACTAATTTTTTTTTTTTTTTGACAAAGATAGTAAGGTACTATTATAGCCTATGAATGCTGTGATGATAAACTTTTAATAATTTTGAGTTCAAAACCATATGTGGCATCACTATCAGTCTATTTTTTGGTGTTTAAAGAGCCACAAAGGCGGGGTGAGAATCGATCTCAAGATCTCCTGAAATCGGGAGGGAAACTCTAACCACTTGAGCTATCCCTCACTCTCACTATATATCAGTCTATTAGTAATTAATAATTTTGGATTTGAAATTTTGAATTTTATCTATTTTTATGTTGACCAATATGACTCCTAACTTACCGTCAACATAATTTTTTTTTTTTAAAAAAAATGATAAAAAATCAAATCCAAAAGTATGAACCTAACAGCTAAAGCTGACAAAAGTGTCATGCCAAGTCATTTTCGTATTTGTATTTATATTTGAAGTTAAACAGGTTGGAGAACCTCAATACCAATCCGACTTATTTAATAATTGTGTCGAAAATTCTTAACACTAACCCACTTTTTTCACGTTCGGTTCGTGTTATAAGTAAAAATGTTAGCTCCAGTACTCCATTATGAATATTTATCACAAAATCTATAAATATTTGATTATTTTTTTAAGTAAGTTGATTCGTGTTAGTTTCGTGTTGGAGCTCTCAACAATATCCCACCCGATTTATTTAACCGTATCATATTATGTTGATTCGATTATATAACTTATTATAGACCCTTAACAATTGACTCGATTTTTTCATGTCAGGTTATGTCGTGTCGGCTTTTGCTAGCTCTACAAACAACCATTTAACATTCTATAAAATCACATAAACTTCAATGAGAAATCCTTTAATACATACAGAATTTAACGGAGAGGAAGAAATGGAGTGAAGTCAATTTGGGGCATGCAAACCCTAATTTGAGAATTATCATACTAAAAAAAAACAGTAATTTTACTATCGTACTTCCAATTTTGGGCAAGAAATTATGGAGGGTACGAGTTAGAATCTGCAAGTTGAACTAAATTTGAGCGAAATTCAATCTTCATCCTCGAATTTCCAAACCCTAACCATCTCAAACGACTTAATTTTCGAGCATATTCTACCCAGACTTCCGGTAAAATCCCTAATTCGATTCAACAATTTTTTTTTTATTAAAAATATATAATATTTTTATTAAAAATAGGCTCCAAAGATATTGATATAATATTTTTAAGTATATTTAGGCTCACTAATTATTTCATGCTACTGTAATAGTACATCATTAGCCGCGTATTTAATAATTTTGATACAACTTCAAGTAGAAGCAATACAGCTGAGCTGTTGATACATATAATTAGTGTAACAAATACGTAACACGAAACTTTATTGTTCCAATAATGCAATAATGCAATTTCTGTATTTGCAGATTAAAATACAGAAAGGAAGAATGTAATAATGATGATCATTGATGCTAAATCATCTAATTGCACTCTATAATCCTTATTTTATATCGTCATTGTAATTTAATATAATATAGGGGTAGCAAAAGTTAAAGACTTCATAGTACCAAAATCCATAATTCAAGCAAAATATGTTGCTTATATTTTAATTGTCTGATACGTTAATTAATTATTCATGGGTAGTTGTTGTTACTTGTTAGATCTATGGTTCTTATCTGAATCAAATTAACCTTCTTATTTAACTAATTAACCTTCGTATAAGCTGCTAACTGTCTTTTTTTTTTTTTTTTTTTTTTTTTTTTTGACAATAGCAAATTTTTACATCCAATAACATTCTAATAATTTGAAAGGGTAGCCCGACATTTTCCAGTCATCTGCCCTTCGAACTTGGTCTCTTTGAACCTTTATATTTGTGTATCTCTGAAAGGAGGCACCCACTTCCTTAATTTCCTTTACTATCCAGGTGATCTAAACATCCTTACCTAATTCACTTTGAAGATTGTTGATTAGAACAATGGAGTCCAAAAGGATGAGGATCCCTTGCTTACCTTTCGCCCTTGTCCATTTCATAGCCTCCAAGCAAGCCCATGCCTCACAATGTAGAGCCGAAGTTGCCACTCCATATTTGCCCCCTTCGCTACCCTCATCCCCATTGTTGCCTCCCATGACCGCCCAGCCAATCCCTACTCTTGTTGTTCTCTTGTCCCATGAACCATCCACGCTCACAATGAAGCTATTGAAACCAGTTCTTTCTTTTCCTAATTGAACAACGTTGAAACCCGGGGGGGTTGACAGTTTTCCCTAGGGCTGTCAACCTCGTTACTACAATACCCTTCTATTTGGCAGAAAGTCTCATGGTTCTGCATGGACAAGTTGATAAATTCTGTGACCAAACTTGCTGCCCCATTGGCATTGTTGAAGCATCGTGCATTCCTAGTTTTCCATAGGCCCCATAAGGTAGCAATAAACTTAATGCTACGGGTTCCATACTTACCATCCTCGCTATAGAACAACATGATATAGTGCTGGATCCACTTTCTCAAAGAATTGAACCCAGGTGAGTTAGAGCAAATTGCCAGGGAGCCATTCTCCCAGACCTCTTTTGCTAGATTACACAGTCTAAAAAGATGTTGATTGTCTTCCTCATCCACTCCGCAAAACTCACAGGTCTCATAAACTTGTATGCCTCACTAGTGGAAAATTTCTCATTCGTAACAGGCTATTTGTAACGGGCAAAGCTTTGCCCGTTACAATTAAGATTTTCGTAACGGGCAAAATAGTGTCCGTTACGAATACTTACTTATTCGTAATGGACAAAGTAGTGTCCGTTACGAATACGTACGTATTCGTAACGGACACTACTTTGCCCGTTACGAATAAGTAAGTATTCGTAACGGACACTATTTTGCCCGTTACGAATACTAAATTACACGTAAATGACCAAACTAAGCCCAACTTATAAGAGGAGAGCCCAATACTTGGCTTTTTAGGGTTTCACTCCCCCCCTCTCTCATCAGTCCCTTACGCCCTCCTTTCCGTCATTCACCTCTCTCTCTCTCTCCTCTCCTCTCTCTCTCTCCGTCATTCACCTTTCTCTCTCCTCTCTCCTCTCCTCTCCTCTCCTCTTTCTCCGTCATTCTGTTGGTTATTGTTTTGGTGGTTTACTTAAGCAGCGATTGCGTTCATCGATCTTGAGACGAGCAACTTTACCGGCTACTTCATACAAGAGCTCCCAAGCGGCGTCGTTTTTGGGCGGAGGTGTAACCGGCGGTGACGGAACTCTTGCTCTTTAGATCTAAGTCGTTGAACGAATCGATGCTAGGTAAGATTTTTCTCTTTGTAATCATCGAATATAAAGTTTGAAGATTTATCAGTTTGAATGTGGTAAATGATGATTGTCTGAGTTGATTCAACTTTATTTTTTGAAATTTATGTTGTTTTTAATTGATTTAAGTTTCTTAGTACTGGATTTTTGGGATATTTTGTGCTGAATTTTTGCAAATTCAGGATGATTATTGTCTTTTTTTAGATCTAAAGTTTCTGATTTTATTTCAATTCTATCATCATTTTGTATTTTAATCTCCTCAATTATTTTTAGCTCTCTAATTTGAGTCCTTTCTGAATTTTCATCTAGGTGTTTGATTCTTAGTGTTGATTTTAGGATTTGTGATTTTATATTGTTTATTTCAATGATATGAGGATTTTGTGGTGTAAATCTTGTAGATCTGTAAATTTATTTGAATTTTGAAAATGGCTATTTAGTTTTGTTGTTTGCGAATTTGAATTTCTCTTGGAAAAGAGATGCGATTTGGTAGTTATGACTTTAAATTGGTGAAAAACTTTTTGATTTCTGAGATCTTTAAGTAATGCGCAAATGTTCGTAGTTCCGAAGCTTAATTATGCGATTTGGGTTTATGAACTTACTATTTGGGATTAATTTGATGTACTTGCTTGATGTCTTGATCAATTTACCTTAAACTTGCAACACATGCTTAAATTGCTTATTGTTTTGGGCGTTTTGCTACCTAATTTATGCTTAATGTTATCTTGCTTTTGAAGTTGATTATGTTAATAGGAATGTTAGAATTAATCATTTAATCATAATTGGTGAAATTGTGGAAAAAGCTGTTGCATTTCACATTTTGATTTAAGATTCAAAAAACTGCAGATAAACTGTAGATTAATGGCTGCTGAGGCTGCTGCTAATGCTTCGGCGAAGAAGCTTATAAGTGTTGATATCAGTTTAGGCACTGTTTGTCCATGGTGCTTTGTAGGCAAAAGAAATTTAGACAAAGCTATTTCTGTATCAAAAGATCAGTTTGATTTTGAGGTTTATTTCCTGATACCCTTTTACTGATTTCCCCCAATTCTTTTTAAATCACTTATACTCGTGTTGTGTTCTATTTCGTGCTTGTTTAAGTCATCAGTTTGTATTGCAGATCAGGTGGCACCCTTTCTTCCTAAATCCTTCTGCCACAAAAGAGGGTGTGAACAAGAGGGATTTTTACAGACAGAAGTTTGGTGCGCGATCTGAACAGATAATAGTGCGAATGACAGATGTATGGCAGAATATTTATTAAGCTGTTTTTTTTTATTTCATTAAGACAATTTATAGTTACATTTGGCTTTAACTCATATGTCGATTTCTGTTGCAGGTATTCAGAGGACTCGGTTTGGAATACAACATTGATGGGCTTACGTAAGGAATTATCATATATAACTATATAAGCTTTTAATCTTCAACTCTACTAAATAATTTTGGCATAACATTTGGGATTTATGTATGTAGGGGGAACACTTTGGATAGTCACAGGCTTATATATTATGCTGGCCAGCAAGGGCTCAACAAGCAACATGATCTTGTTGAGGAACTATTCTTGGGCTACTTCACGAGGGCAAAGTACATAGGAGATCGGTATGTCTGTTTTCAAAGCATTTCTTATCTTCACTTTGTAGTTTGTATGCATGCGTGATGTTTCTAAATTGCACGAATTGAGCGCCTTATTGCCTTCATCAAGTATTGATCTCCATGTGTTGACCGTGTTTTGAGACTCTAATATGTTCACTGGTAACTGTCAATAGTCTGTCATCCTTCTGCAAGAAAATTGGTTACATATCTAACAATGTGTTCTGTAGCTACTTATATATATGGTTGGATAGAGGGTTTTGGTATAAAAAAGTTGGTTTACTGTTCCATCTGGAGATTTAACAAATTTAAGCAGAATCTCTAACAAGACTGAAGCTAAGCAAGATTGGGCTCTTTGAAAACACAAAGTAAGTGATTAGAGATTTGTATTAAGGAAGCCTTCCTTGGTGAAATCAGCTTATTTTTTAAAAATTTTGATTTTTTTTATAAATCAGCTTATTTTATGTAATTTAATTATTTTTTAAATTTTGATTTTTTTTTGAGGGGCTGATTCAATTATGATTCAATGATCTTGTGGATTTTGATATTATATTTTTTTTTCAATTATGTTAATTTTGGTTTGTTGAAATTATTTAATGTAGGTGGAGCATATAATATCTACACAAGGGAGCTTAAAACTCAACGTCTTAGAACACAAATATCGGGATAAAACTTGTTTTTATTACAATTATGATTTGTTTTTGCTCTTTTATTAGTCTTAGTGTTAAGAAACTTGTGACATTATATGAGCAAGTTGATGTATTTTGCAGTGATAATGAATATATTTTTGCTTATAGTATATTAAATGTGTATTATACTTGTGTAATTAAAAAATTATTTGTGTATTATACTTGTGTAATAAAAAAATAATCTGTGTATTATACTTGTGTAAAAAAAAAAATTATCCCATTATTTGATAAAATGATCCAGCATGTGCTAGCACGTGCTGGATTTTTTTTTAATTGCATCAAACACTATTCGTCGGGCAGATACAATGCCCGTTACGAATAACCCGTTATTCGTAACGGGCAAAATAAATGTCCGTTACGAATAACGGGTTAATCGTAACGGGCACATGAAACGCCCGTTACGAATAACGGGTTAATCGTAACGAGCACCTGAAACGCCCGTTACGAATAACGGGTTAATCGTAACGGGCACCTGAAACGCCCGTTACGAATAACCATTATTCGTAACGGGCACTTTAAACGCCCGTTACGAATAAGTAGTTATTCGTAACGGACGCTGCCCGTTACGGATGGGGATTTTTCCACTAGTGCCTCTTTTAGCTAAATTACTCTTTACCGCAAGTCTATCATGAAAGAGCTTCCATAGAAATACCTTCCATTTCGGCTGGATATTCATTCTCCAAATGAGCTTTACAAATTTTTGTTCCTCCAATGAAAGGGCTAAGAGCCCTGTCCCTATATTTCTAGCCAGGAAGTAATAACCAGTTTAACAGAGAATGTACCTGACATATGGAATTTCCAACAGAGGAAATCATCCTCCAAAGAACAGGGAAGATCCATTGCCAGGATTGCTTTTGCGCTATTCCATTCAAAACATTCTCTAATTTTCCCACTTTCCAAGCAGCAGAATCCTTGTCAATGAAATCACTAACCTTCCATCTTAGCAATACTCCTAGAGTTTGATTCGAGTTTGCCGTTGGAATTTCCCCATTGATCCAAGGCATTCTAATAGCCATGATGATTTCCCCATTACCCACTTTCCACGCAAAACCTTCCCTGGAAGAGCTGGTTACTTTTTGTAGACTTGATCTTCCCAACGAAGGATATCCTACTCTCTCGTAAGGCTTAGACAGATTGCATATCTCACACGGTTGGAACCCTCTATGAACTCTTGAGGGCAAAAGCTGTGGGTTCAGGTGCATCCTTGTTTCCTGTTTAAACAATAGGGCATCATTGAGAGTTGACGTACCTCGAATACCTAGACCTCCCATACTCTTAGGGAGTTGAATTGTTGTTCTATTCGCCCAATGCATACCCTTATCACCGTTGTTAGACCATCAGAACCTTGTGATAAGGGAGTCAATTTTATTTGAAATACTTTGTGGTAATTTCAGGCATTTCATGACATGAGCCGAGATACTTACCAACACCGTATTGATTAACACCAGTTTGGATGATTGAGAAATACGTAAAGAAGCCCAAGAGACAATCTTTTCTGACACCTAATCAACCAGGAAACCTAATCAACCAGGAATTGAAATGAAGAGCTCTTCTTTCCCTGGAAATCAATCGGGGCTCCAAGGTGAATCCCCATGTTATCAGTCTCAGCCATATAAAGGATCCTTTTTAGAGAATCTCGCGTACTGGTATCAAAACCTGGCGAGAATCACTAGTGGAAAAATCATCATTCGTAACGGGCTATTTGTAACGGGCAAAGCTATGTCCGTTACAATAAACATATTCGTAACGGTCAAAATAACAATCCGTTACAAATATATTATTCGTAACGGGCAAACGAAAACTATGTTATTTGTAACGGACAAGATAGTGCCCGTTACGAATATGTATTAGTTGTAACGGACAAGATACTGCCCGTTACAAATGTGTGAATATGGTCCAGCTGATGAGAAAGGCCCATTATTATAATTAGGGTTTCACATTTCACTCTCCTCCTTAGCCGTCATACCCAATATTCACACATTTCACTCTCTTCCTTACCCGTCACATTTCACTCAATCTCTCTCTTCTCCTCACTTAATCTCCTCCATTTTTAATTCCTCTCTGTGGATATATGATCTTCTCCTCACTCAATTGGAAAAGGAAGAAGGATTAAGGATCTGTTCTGTGGATTAAGCTCGATTGTGCAGAAGAGTGACAATCTGAAGAAAGCCGACGCCGATAAGAAGAAAATCCGGCGATCATCAGCCAGATCTCTGCAAAGCAGCGGCAGCGATACTCCTCCTTGGGTTTCGCCTCTTTCTTTCTCCTTTTTTTCTTGGATAATTTTTTGTTTGAAGATTTAGGCTTTAAACTTACAGATCTTGAATTTCTTTTTTAAATTGTCACATTTTAGATGATTAATTTCTTGATGATATTTTTGTTTACAAAATTATTATCGGTTGATGATTTTATCTGTTTTGGCTGATGAATTGTTTAATTTTGGTGGTAATTTTGTTCTGAATTGAGTTTTAATTGTTGAGTTTAAATTTTTTAATTGTTGAGTTTTAATTGTGAAGGTACGACGACGAGTTTGCGAAAATCATGTCTAAGGATGCCCTGTAATTTGTAGCGCATGGTATCGAATTATGAGCATGTTTGTGATTTCGCATTGTAGATATTGTGGCATGCCTTTTCTTAGAAGCAAACATTAATAGCAAAATCAACTGATGTAATTTTAATTTTTTTGCAAGGTTCAATGATATTGGAGTGGAATCCTTGAAATTCGAATTGAGCACAATAAGATCTGCAACCAGTAGTTTTTTCAGAAGATAGAAAGCTTGGAGAAGGTGGATTTGGTGAAGTGTGCAGGGTATTGATTGTTATGCATGCTCATAAGCCAATGTTTTGCCTATATTGTTCCTGTATTATGCTCTCTTGTTCTTAGCATAAGTTCATAGACTTCATGAAATAATAGGCTGTCTTAAGAGGGTTAATTGGTTAAATGAAGTTTTTCCATTAGTAACTTTTATAATTTGAAGACTATTTCCAAGTTCCTTTCTGTGGTTCTTTGTAGATAGGTTGGCAAAAAGTGATGCATATTTAGTTGAAGATTTAAAGTAGCAATTAAACAATGACTTTGCCTTTTTACCTGATAATATGAAACAAGATGTTAGTTTAGAATAAAGTGCTAGGACTGCATAAAACAGAGAAAAGAAAACACACTATTCTCTTGGTGGGTTTTAGGGGCTGATGACAATTGCATCTTTCTATTGTTTTTGATTTTTTTTTTTTTTTTTTTTGACATGGGTGGTAGGATCACGCTAGTGCTCTTATTAAGTTTCAATGTAGATATTTTTTATTAGTTGTTTATATATTCAATTTCACGAAATAGTGATGGTAAAGTAGAAATATGTATGGATTTTGATTAGTTGTTGTCAATAATTTTAGTATTGTAAGGTTCTATTGGTTTTAATCCAATATCCTAAGCTCATTATTAATAATGGCTTATTGATTTCTGCAAATTTCAATGTTTATTTCAGACAGACTTGAAGTATATAATGGTTTGAATAAAATTGTTTTTCAATTGGGTTGACTTGATTTTTATTCCCCCCTCCCCTTCAAGTCTCTTGTATGGTTTTAATTAGTTTTCTGTATTGGTGAGAATGATTTTTTTGTAGGACTTGGCTTAGCTCACATTTCATCCCACTGTTGTGTATTAATATTAGTTTAAAGGATCATGCGTCTCTAAACACATAGCTTAAGTTCATTAAATAATTTTTTTTTATATGAAAGCACATGAAAAAAGTTGGACAATTGGTTGGTAAACTACAAGTAGACAGACTGAATAAGTAATTTTGCTTGATAAGTGATTTTGTGATAACTGTGTAACCCTTACTTGATTTTCCCTTGGTTGTAAAGTGATAACTAACTTGATTTTCCTTTATCTTTCTCCTCACTTGCCTTGAATATTGTACTACAGGCTAGTTGTTCCAAGCAAATTAGTACACTTTGTGCCATATTTCCTGTTTAACTCGCATTTTCATTTGATATACTTCATCAATTTTAATAATTTAACCTTTTTTTTTCAAGTCTGTTTGGACAGAAATCATGACTCGTTGCTAAAAAGGGTGGAAGATATGGCTGTACAAAATTTGTTAAGCAAGCTTCATCAAGACAGCATAAAATTCTATCTTTCCAGTTCTTAGTCTACTATGGAATATAAACTTGTTTAAATTTTCATGTTGTATTACGGAGTATTATTTATGCAGTAGCTTTTGACTCATGTTTGAGTTGTTGTAAAGTCAATTTGGACATTTGTGAAAGTTGTATTAATTTATAATTAAATATTGATAATTTGTTTTTTGAAATCAATTAAATATCAATAATAGTAATTAAAGATTTGGCATCATAGCATGTTGGCAGTATAACCTGCTGCATAATTTTTTTTTTAATTTGGCTTCAATTGTATTTGTAACGGGCAGTCAAACTGTCCGTTACAAATAACGGGTAATTTGTAACGGGCAGTCAAACTGTCCGTTAGGAATAACGGGTTATTTGTAACGGGCAATCAAACTGTCCGTTAGGAATAATGGGTTATTTGTAACGGGCAATCAAACTGTCCGTTAGGAATAATGGGTTATTTGTAACGGGCAGTTTGACTACCCGTTACGAATAACCTGTCATTCGTAACGGACACTGCCCGTTACGAATAACACTAGCTATCCGTAACGGTGGCATACGTAACGCCTGCTGCCCGTTACGGATAGGCCTTTTTTGCTCGTTACGGATAGCTTTTTTTCCACTAGTGTTTAACAAAAGATTTTTGTAAATTTAGTTGTTGGCCAGAGGCCCTTCCAAACCTGGGAAGAATGTCCCTGATGCAATGGCATGATGTCTCAGTTGCTTTAAAGAAAAGCATGGTATCATCTGCAAAAAATAAATGCGAAATAGAAGATCTCCTTGACACACTTAACCCTTTGAGCTGATTTATATCCTTTGCCAATGTCAGCATCCTTGAGAGGATATCCATACAGAAGACAAACAGATACGGGGATAGCAGATCCCCTTGTCGAAGACCACAATTAGGGGAGAAGTGATCTGTGGTTTTCCTATTGATGACAGCCTTGAAACTTACTGTTGAGATACACTGTGAAACCATTCTTATACAGTGGTTAGAGAATCCATAAGCCTGCAATACCTTAAGGAGGAAAACCCAGTCTACTCTGTCATATGCTTTTGACATATCGATCTTTACTGCAGTATAGTTCGAGCCCTTCTTTAAATTTATCAGATGCATAAGTTCATGGCTTAGAAGAACATTATCCTCCATGTATCTTCCTGGAATAAAGGCATTTTGGTTCTCATATATCAGTTTTGGAAGGATTACCTTAATCCTGTTGACCAGACATTTTGAGATACACTTATACACTGTATTGCATAAGTTGATTGGTCTGAATTGATTTGCTGCTTCTGGAACTTTAACCTTTGGAATTAACACCAGAAGGGATTGATTCCATTCCTTCAGCATGTTTCCTGATTTCAGAAATTGGTGAACACTATTAGTCACCAATTGCCCTACATCTTTCCAGTATAAGTGGAAAAAATCAGCAGTGAACCCGTCTGGCCCTGGCGAATTTGATTTGTGCATATTGAACATTGCATTTTTAATTTCTTGATAAGTGAAAGGTTTGTCAAGCCAATGTTGATCCTCTAATGAAATAGAGGGGATATCCATTTCCATTAGAAGAAGATCAACTTCTTCCCCGTGATTATCTGGGATCACCGGGTCATAAACCTTTTTTATGGATGAAAGAACCACATCCTCCACCTCTTTTTGCCCTTCCACCCACAAATTATTCTCATCTTTCAAAGTTAGAATCTCATTCTTTAATTGTCTTTGCTTCACCCTCCTATACTTCAAGGGAGTAGGACAATCCCCAAACTTTATCCAACTTGCTTTCATTCTTTGTTATAAAAGTCAAAGCTTAGTTGATTCTCTGAGATTTGATGATTTAACTGATGAATATAACCATCCCCTTCTTGAACTGAGGCCACGTTCAATCCCGTACTTCGCAGATCTCTTGTTGTATCCGCCAATTAATACCCCAATTTTTTTTATTTTCCAAGCACCAGTATTGAAGCTTTGATCTTACCAACCTTAGTTTCCTAGAGAGTTGAAACATATTCGAACCATGAATCCCAATCTTCCAAGTTTCTTCGACCAGTGCCCTAATTTCCGGAAAGTTGAGACACCAACTTTCAATTTGGTAAGGCCTATTTGAGGTAGTAGTGTCAAAACGAGAGTGATAGATAATTGCTGCATGATCCGAGAAAATTATTGGTTCATGAACTAAATTACCCTTCGGAGAATGATGGAACCATTCCTTTGTAATATAAGCTCTATCAAGCCTTTCAAGAATGAGCTCGTTACCTTCCCTTTTATTACTCCAAGTAAACCTTGGCCCCGAGAAAGGAACTTCCGTTGCATTGCAATTGAACCTCCAATCAAGGAATGCATCGATCCCTCTAATTGTAGTTGAACCTCCCAATTTATCACTTCCACTTGATTGAAATCCCCTATAACTAGCACATTTTTGAACTCCTCCAAAAACCATTGGAGTTGTTCCCACACAATTCTTCTATTTTATACTTGAGGCTCACCATAAAGAAACAGTACATACTTAACACTTCCATTAGAATCATTGATCATACAAAGGATGAAATTTTTTGATGAGTACATAAATTCTACTACATCATTAGACCAAACTAAAACTAAAAGCCCTCCACTACTTCCAACTGCGCGCATTCCAACCAAAACTCGAAGTAGGGTGCAAATTATCTAATTTACTAGCCGCATTAACAAAGTTCATCTTAGTTTCCGAGAAAAACATAAACATAGGAAGTTTAGAACGATAGAGCCACACTATGTAGGGAATTGCAAGAGAGTGTGGGTCATTAAAACCCCTGCAATTCCACGCCACCACCTTCATGTCTCTTTAGGGGGTTGGCTTGCATTAGCCATCATACCCTCGGAAGAGATTCTCATTGAGTCAAGTATCATCATTTGCAAATCAATATCCATATCTTCCTTAAACCCACGGTAAGCCAAAGTAACTTCTTCACTTTTTTTGTCTTTTGAAAGAAGATTCCGAAGAGGAAGAGGAAGAGGAAATATCTTGATGCCTCTTGTTTTTTTCCTTTTTTCTTTAGATCATCATCTACCTCAACCCCGAACTCATGAGCCATGTACGGGTCCGAAATAGCCTTCGAAGAAAACCTCATAGTTCCATTCTCATATTTTTGCCATATAGCAAAACCCCCTTTTTCTGACCATCGGTGTAGCCGCTTGAACCTTTTCCTCTCAACCCAATCCAAATCTGAATCACTATGACGGATCGAGTCTCCACCACAAGAGTGAGGATAGTTGCCTATTGCTTCCCTTATCCTTTTTCTTGTATTTGCACTATCATCATAATTAAACAAGTCAGTGAAATTAAAAGAGCTAAAATGGGATACCGGAGAGTTTGGCGGATCAAAATCGGATAACGGAAGATTCGGCAATCCTTCCAAATTAGAGTGAGATAGCTGCAGAAAAGGGCCCGAGTTTCCCCTTGCATTTCGATGAATTTCCTGAATTTTTGTGCGCCTAGCCTCTCGAATCCCCAAGGTTAAAATAGTACTAGCTTCCATGATTTGCGCATATTCTTCGTTAGTGAGATTTTCATCTCCCAATCCCATTGTTGTCGTGACAGTAGGGCTTGAAATACCACGAATCGAAGTGAAATTATTTGCTGAATTTCAACCCCGATTATGCCCTGCTTCATTACCCAGAATAGCCACATGATTACCTTCGAACATTGCTGAAGATAAGGCCCAATCAGAGATTCATAGAGTATGGAAAATGGTACCCGGACCCCCTGCTTGACATTCTCGATTTCGCGCAGATGAGGACTCCCCAACTTCAAAGGTTGAACCTGCAAAAAGTTGTCTTGGAGTTTTTGGCCTATCATGGCCCAAATCAACACTTCTGTGAGAAGGGATTCCCTGAGTATCACATTGCACTTGTGATCTTTCCCCCCTTAAAGGGCTTTCCCTATTTGTGTTCCCTTGTCGAGTCTGAGTAAACTCAGCATACGGATCCTCCCCCCAATCCCAACCTCCTGCTAGATGGGGTTGCACCAGTGCATCATCCCTTTCAATGATTTCTGATCCATCATTCGACAACTCCTTCTCCCCTGTATGATAGCGTTCGCTATCCTCGCTAGTCATCAAATCACAGCTGTGTTGACACGCACCAAGTTCTCAAAGTCTTGACCATTCCTGCATTCGAACAGGAAATAAATTCCACATCTATGGACCCGGATATCTCCACTCCAAATCCATCTTGAATTAACTATATGTTTCGGTTGAAAACAATGGGACCTTGCCGAAGGTCCACTAAAATGGAGAAGACTGGATTCGATCCAAGCTGTGTTGGGCCGAAGGTTTCCTGCACAGTTAACACACGTAAACTAGCCTCGGGGGTGTTTCCGAGGAAGGCCCCTCCGATGCTAAAGTCAGTACAATGTGTAAAAAGGAAGACACTATGCAAGAGAGTTTGTAGCTTGAGGCTTTTGTGGAGTATTTCTCAATGCAAGAATGAGCATATGAGTTGGAATAATCCGTGTATGAGATAATGTATGTGATGATGCATGTGTTGTTGTGTCTGATAGTGTATGTGATGTTATGAGATGTCTTATGTAAGAATATGACTCTCTCCTTGAATGTGTTAATATGAGGGCTTTTATACCTCATCATATTTGGAGAGGTTGGGCTTTAGCCCAATTGGCTTACTTTGTGGGCTGACTTTTGACTTTTGAGCAATTGGAGAGTTGAACCTTGACCTTGGGCTTTCAATTGGATCATTTAGTGCTCAGGCCCAATTTTGACTAAATTGGACCCAAACAACTTGCCCCCCAGACCCGATTCGGAAGAATGACGGGTCGGGTTTGATTTAACTCAGAAAAGGAGGGAAGTAAATGATTTAATTGATCCAAAAATTTGAATTTAAACCGTAATTAATGAGATAACAACGGTTAATGATTTGCGGAAGTTGGACGGATAATGGGCGGTTTAATCACAAGACATGTGTTTAATGGTTACTTAGTGGGTACTTAAGAGAAATTAAAGCACAGACTCTTCGTATCCCGTACCTGGAGATATAAACAGAGGCGCGTCATTCTCCTCACTGATTCACCAACACAAACCCAGAATTCTTCGAGAGAGAATCCAAGAATCCGTATCAAAACTTCGCAAATTCCCCCGAGCATTGAGCTTAGAAGCTGAGACTTGCCACTACGAACTCGTAAATCGGCAACTTTCGCTTCAGATTAGGTAAATTCCTTTGATTTCAGTTTATTTTTC